GGCCTCAACTTCCATGGAATGACATGGCATGGAAAAAGACAATCTTGGTTTATAACATTTGAGAAATAGTGTTATTACTTCCATCCTATAAAACCTTAATATGGCCCCCACAGCACATTTTATCTAGAACGAGGCTGTGTCTGTACCGTGAGCCCACCAGGGTGAAGCAGCCTCCAAGTAAAGCCCTCACCAGCTGAATGAACTGATCCACAAAATGTAGCGCCTTATTAACTGAACATGGCCCATTCAAGTGCTGAAGATCCTCTGCCAAAAAAAAAATTTTGGCTTTAATGAGTTGATATTGAACTGTTTTTGTTTTCCTAGCTACAGCTGACCATGAATAATTGCTTTTTCATTCAATGTTAAGACCTATTATTATGTGCCAGGTAGAGAAGACACAATGGTGCACAAACTTTGCTAAGTCTCATGGAAGGTTTCAGGAGATAGATAATGAAGCAACATGGGAGTTAAAAGAAAGAAGTATGGTAGCCTCTCTGAAGAAATGTTTTAATCTGAGATCTGAAGGATGAGCGGGAGTTAACTCAGTGTCTTGTTTGTGGGAGTGGGGGTGGGGACAGGCCGAAAGAGGACAGTTTCAGGCAGGGCCATCAGATCACATGAAATTCACCAAACCAGGAAGCAGAGCTTAGGAAACAAACAGTTAAGTGGTGAACAGAAGTTTAGCCAGGGAAGAATTTGGGGCTTGGAAAGTTTTTTTCTCCCCATGTGCAACACAACTCTCATGAACATTTATATATATATATGCATATAATATATATTATATATATATATTTTTTAAAGATTTTATTTATTCATTTGAAAGACAGAGATCACAAGTAGGCAGAGAGGCAGGCAGAGAGAGAGGGGGAAGCAGGCTCTCCGCTGAGCAGAAAGCCCGATGTGGGGCTCGATCCCAGGACCCTGGGACCATGACCTGAGCCAAAGGCAGAGGCTTTAACCCACTGAGTCACCCAGGTGCCCCTCCCATGAACATTTATAAAAAACACAGATTAATATTTAAATCAACTCACTCAGATGCAGAGTGAGAAAGCCAGCAAAGATTCTGGAAGAGCCAGTATAGACAATTGGTTGGGAAATGCTGTACTATCTAGAATAGAGCTGACAGTAGGCAAAACTAGGGTGGTACAGGAAGGAGTGTTTAACTGACTCAATAGATAATGAAAAGCTCCAACTGTGTGCCAGCCATCCTATATATATGGAGTCTAGTGGGGGAAATAATATTACCCAAACAAGGAAGCATGTCAAAATATAAAAAACAGAACCTTTCCTAGTGCTTCAAGAAAGGTTTCTCTTGAGGAAAGCCCAACTGAACTACCTGAAAGTTGACTAGAAGCCAACTAATGGGCACAGTGAGGAATGGATGGGAGTAAACTTCAAGGGAGGGAAAATTGCATTTATTAAGAAACTAATGTAGCCATTGTGGCAGAATGGAAAGAGCAAAGAGTACTAAGGTGAGGCTGGAGAGGTGGTCTGGGACTAGATCATGCAGATTAAGTAACTGGGTCTTTATCCTAAGAGCCAGGGGATGCCATGAAAGTGCTTAATTAAGCAAGGGAATTAATAAAACATCAAATTTGTGTTTTGAAAACTGCTGTGGTTGTGGCATGAAGAATGGATTGTAGGGGGCATGGAAGCGGATGTGGTTAAGTGAGTTATACCATGACTACAGAAGGCCAACCAGAAGACGTTGGGAGGTCGATGACTTGGGAGTCCGTACAGAGCACAGTTTCTGGCCTGGGCTTCTCACACAATTCATGACACATGAGCCCACATCATCCGACCAGAGGAAGTCATTTTCTTTTTCTTACTCACTAGGTAATTATGTTACACATTAAACGATTAACAATGGTCTCCCTTGGAAAATGGGACTGGAGAGGAGGATGGAAGAAAGAAGAGGGCATTGCATTGCCAAATACCCAAACCAGACAAAGATGCTACAAGAAACTAGACCAAAATCTCCCTTGAACATTGATTCAACAAAGTATTAGCCAATCAAACCCAAAAAAGTATAAAAAGAATTAAACACCTTATTAAGTGAGATATATCCTGAGATACTCAAGGCTGGTTCGGCATTCAAAAATCAATTAATGTAATCCACCACCACCACCAGACTAAAAAATATCACATGATCTTATCAACAGATAGAGAAAAAGCATTCCACAAACTGCAATACCCATTCATGATAAAAACTCTAAAAACAAAACAACTCTCAGTCAACCAGGAGTAGAGAGAACTTCCTCAATTTGATAAAGACTAAAAAAACAAAACAAAACAAAACAAAAAAACCCTACAGCTAACATCACACTCAGTGAGAAACTAGGAGCTTTCCCACTCTCAGGTACAGGGCAAAAATGTTGCCTCTCACCACCTCTTCTCAACATCATACTGGAAGTCCTCATTAATACAAGGAGACAAGAGTAGGAAATAAAAAGTACAGACTGGGAAGAAAAACTTAAGCAATATTAAAGATAGCATTACAAGTATGAGGAGAAAAATAGAAATCAGTATCAGAATTAACAGGAGAGTCTGATCTGGACATAGGGAAGGAGACGGGAGACTGCCTTTTTTTTTCCTTCAAGTTCCTTTGATAGTACTTGATTTCTATTTGCATCTATAACTTGAATAATTTTTTGAAGATCAAATGGAAAAGGAAAAATTGCAAAAACGGATGGAAATAGTCATGGATATGTATATAAGGGCTTATTAAAAGGAACTCATCAAGTGTTTTTATTGGCAAAAATGTCTTAAAATTACCAGTATGAGAATACGTGTTAAAAATTATGGCACAAATGAATCTTGGAACACTGAGGAAAAAAATAAAATCAAATTAAAAAAAATTATGGCGCACCTACATAAATATAATGCAGCCTTTAAAATGTAGAATTTTCAATGATACAGAAAAGTGTCTATGATGTGTAATGGAGGCTGAAGATTGTAAAACAGTAGAGACATAAGGAATGTACACACCAAAATAACCAACAAAACAACAGTTAAGTTCTTGGTAGGGAACATACAACTTTTGTTTTCCTTGTGCTTTCACCTATTTTCCAACTCCACCAAGAACACGTCATTATTGTAGTCAGGTAAGTTTTAAACACACACACCCAAAATTTTGTTATGATTATTTGTGTGATGGAACCATGCATGAACTTTTTTTTTTTTTTAAGATTTTATTAGTTTATTTGACAGACAGAGTTCACAAGTAGGCAAAGAGGCAGGCAGAGACAGAGAGAGAGGAGGAAGCAGGCTCCCTGCTGAGCAGAGAGCCTGATGTGAGGCTCAATCCCAGGACTCTGGGATCATGACCTGAGCCGAAGGCAGAGGCTTTAACCCACTAAGCCACCCAGGTACCCCCGTGCATGAAGTTTATTTGCAATTTTTTTCATTCTTTTATTCATTCATTCGAATTGTCCATTGGTGGTAAAGACAATGCCGTATGTGTAACAAATCATTATGGCCCTCTTGATTTACACACAGGACAACTGCATTTCCCCATCTTCCTTACCACTGGCCTCGGGTCATATGACTGGGCGCCAGTCATGAAACCAGACCCAGACACAGAACCCTGCAGTACCTACCACTCTAGCTCCTCTCCTTCCACCAAGATTTGAGGAGTCAAAGCTGACACTGTTACAGGATAGACAGAGCAATCTGGATCCCTGGGAGCCTAGAGCCTTCCTGTCACAATGGAGTATGATAAAAATATGATAAAAATAGATGAACTCCTACTGTCTGAAGCCACTGAGATGTTGGGGGTTGTTATAAGCAGTTTGTCTATCCTAATAGAGCACTACTATTACCCATGGGAAAATAAAAACTAAAATGCTCCTTCCAAAATACCAACCTTTAAGAGTAGCTCATGATCTATTGAAGGAAGTCCTCAAAATGGCATACAAGGTCCTCCATACCCTAGCTCCATGCACCTCACATCCCAAATATCTCACTGTCCCTCGGGAATGCTCCCGGAAGTTCCTGGACCTGTTCTTCCCCATCAGAGCACCAACTGCCACTGTATAGTAATTAGCTGTCTAGTCACCACTTCCTTTCCCGAGATTATGAGTCTCCTCTAAGGCGGCAGTTGTCTTTCTTCACAGAGCATCTTCAACGCTAACACTACATGCCCGATATATAAAGGATGCTAGTAGGTATTTGCTGACTAAATAACATTTTCTTAAATGTTCTCAGCCCCCTAAAACAACAAGAAATTTTAGAGCCTGGAAGGTAGGGGAAAAACAATTCTCATTTTATTAGAATATATTTTCTTCTAAAATAAATTCTCAATCTCTGTAATATCGGACTAGCCTGAAGCTCTTAACAATTCCTGAAATAAAACCAGGAGCCAGGAATTAAATGTCTTTTAAGACTACAACTGGTTCCTAGACCAAGCTGTTACGGGGTTTGTGAAACTAAAAATTCTGACTTCCTAATTTTAGAGTTGCAATTTTTTAATCTTAGGAATTTATAGTGAAATTACAAATATATATATTATTTTTATATATATCTATGTATCTATCTATATATATGATTTATTTATTTTAGAGAGAGCATGACAGTAGGGAGAGGGGCTGAGGGAGAGAGGGAGGGAGGTAGAGAAGCAGACTCTGCATTGAGCCTAACAAAAGGCCCAGCCCCACAACCCCAGTATCACAACCTGAGCCAAAATCAGGAAGTCAGGGGCTCAACCAAATGAGCCACCCAGGTACCCCGAAATTACTCTTAGATATTTTAAATGGTGGTGGATTCTAAATTATTTCAGGTAGAAAGTAACCTTGGAAATAAAAGGATCATTGTAACTTGAAATGCTCCACTTGTGAGGGAGACATTCACAGAAAAGCAGTTTATTTTATGCTCCTTGGGAACTTTAGCGTTAAGAATAGCCCTTCCATTAACTACAAAAACATTAGTTTAAATGTATTACACAGCATCTGTCACGGTTGAGTCTTAGATGTTACTTCAATAGTATCCATGAAGAATATAACTTATTTTAAAAGCTTGTTTTTATTTTTTAAAAATCTACAATTTTACCCACCGTAATAGTGAACTGAACTTTTAAGAAATACTTTTTTTACATGGATTATCTTAAGATATAAAGAACCAAATAACTCTTTGGTTTTGTTATATGGGAAAAACAACACACAGTCCTTTAGTCAAACAACTCTGTGATATTTATATTCCATTGCACAGATATGGGTAATACAAATTAGTAACACAAGTTATTTCTTAAATTCCAAACATTTTCTAAAATATTATTACAGCAGATGTCTAGGATATTAAAACATCAAGGTGGAAATCATACTCTAAATAGTTAAATATGACACTGAAAATACTGCACATTTTAATTAGAGGAAAATTAAAATGTGTGCTCAAATGCTCTAACTAAGTAGCAGGGCAGCTAACAACTACGAATAAGTCACTATGGTCCATTTTTACGTATGCATATATATGATTATTCTTTAGATAATCCCTCCTCTGGAAAATGCATTAATTCAAACACAAAAATCTGGATAAACGATTCAAAGAAATTTAAATTCTTCCTAACACATAAGATCTATGGTGAAGTGTAGTATTATCTATGACTTCATACAACTACTAATTCAAGATAAAAGACACCACACTTGGAAAGAAGGAAAGATTTTTAAAAGGTAATGGTTTTAATTGAATTAATGAGATGAAAAGATCGTGAAGCCCTGTTTGCTACTTACATGAAAGATCTTAAAAAATAATCACTGCACAAAATACAAAGGGTAGGGGGTTATGCTGCGATATTAAGTTTTTCTCCCATTAATGTTTTTCTTGACTGTTCAAGGACAAATTACAGTTTCCACAGCAAATTTGTTTTCAAAATGCCGAATTGTAACACAATTGCTGACTTCACGTTTCTGAATACCTGTTGGGGAGGGAAAATTTTTTTAAATTTCTGGTTCTTTAAGTAATTCATACTTATCATCAGCTGTATTATTTATACATATAAAAATATTTTACTCTATATTCGATGAATTTCTGTAGTTTAATTTTTTAACCCTGGAGAAAATAATTTTCCTCTCTTGTCTAAACTAAGTATCTTAATAGATCTTAGCAACCAATAATAATGCCATATGTAAATTTATGACCTCGAAGGTACTGGAAATATTCTGTATCTTGACTGTGGTAGTAATCTGTTGAAACTCAGAACTGCACACTAAAGAGGGTGAATTTCATCATATGTGTAAATCTGGCTTTAAAAAAAATCAACTATAAAGGCAATGAAAGGAAATGAAGAGATACTGTCATTCTTGTTCAGGTTAAAAAAAAAAAAAAAAGGTTAAATGATCTGGCAAAGCTACATTACTTGTGTCGATGCTCTTAATTCTTCAGCCAATTTCCTGTGTAATTAACCTGACCGTGACTATTTTCAACGTGATCATTTCCTGTGTAATTAACCTGACTGTGACTATCTTCAACGTGATCCAAAAGTTCACGTTTAGAATCCAGGTCCCTGAGCACATAACTTCAGAGCTTCTCCAGAGACCTCCTGGACAAGAACAACTCTTGCCCAGTGTCAATGAACCAAAGTGGTGGGATGGAAGGTGGTTGGGCTGGGCGACCACATGGAAAGTGAGGTAACAGCATCTCAAGGCACTGACACTTCACATTCACCTAATTCTCTCTACCTGAAAAGAGCGGATTCAGAATTCAGATGCTTCTCTGGAAATCTAGAAATACCATATAATGACACAAAACTTTTTCTTTCTCACTCCTGGCAAGCATATTGATAACAATACACCAGCTTACATCTAAATCTGGTTTGACATAGTGAAGTGAAACGACAAACTTTTCTGCCAGGACTTTAATAGTAAAAAGTATTACCTCTGATGGTTTCTCTGCGTTGCAGTTTGTAAGTTTCCTTGTCATGGCACAGTCGGTAAATAAAGAAACCCAGGTGATCAATGTTTTCAATGCGATCAGTGATAACCATGTGTTCATGAATCAGATAGGACTGAGGCAAATAGGTTCCAGCCTACATTTGGAAGAAATATTATATGAATACTCAGAGGATACAGGAAAGGTATAGAATTGAGATTGGCAAACTACTGCCCACCATCTGTTTTCATGAATGAAGTTTTACTGCAGTACAGTCATGCCTGTCTATTTACATACTGTCCATGAGTCGAATAGCTTGCAACACAGATCTTATTTCTTGAAAGCCTACTATTTATTATCAGGCCCTTTGGGAAAACTCAGATAATAATTTAAGAGATTGTATTTTATTTCAAAATATAAAATAATAAAAGGAAAAACCCCAAAATCGTGAGTTTTAATTCCTCTTTATAAAGCTCTTAGCTATGCATCTGGTGAGATGGGCACTTATAGGGCTATTATCTCAACCGGGAATTCTAAGATCCTATAACAGCATTATTCATAAAAAATATTTGAACATTTGAACAGGGGCACCTGCGTGGCTCAGTCTGTTAGCATCTGCCTTCGGCTCAGGTCATGATCCCAGGATCCTAGGATTGAGCCCCACATCAGGCTCTCTGCTCAGGGGGAAGCCTGTTTCTCCCTCTCCCCGTCCCTCTGCCTGTCGCTTGTGCACTCTCTCTCTGTCAAATAAATAAATAAAAGCTTAAAAAAAAAAAAATCTCAACACCTTATACCTTTATGTTAATAAGTAACTCCAGCAGGTTTCTCGGTGGCATAACAATGGAAGTGTTCAGTGGAATCACATAGCACTTATCCAGATTAAGATCTAAATAGGCTGTGAGTTTCTGCAAAGAGAAAGATACATTTTCATTAGATTAATATCTGTAGCACAGGCAGCACCTGGAGTTTTAAGAATAATTTATACCATTAAAATGGGCTGGCTTTAGGACATATAAATCACTTGCATTTCAACAAATGAAGTATTTGGTAGGATAGGAACAGAAGGTAGTAATGAGAGGAAAAAATTATTGCTACTAGTAAACAAAATACTTATCAAGAGTTTGTTCTATAAATGATTAACAATTAACTATTAAAATTAACTGCAAATAGCCTATCATCTGGTTAAGATACAGTCACTTCTCTCACTTTTAAGCCCTAACACCTTCCAAGGTATCCATCTGTTAAATGTAAAAATTAACTTCTCTCCTATGCATTTAGAATGGTACTAATTACTACCATCCTTAGAGAAACTGAAATAATAGTCAATTAAGTGATTTTTCTGTGTTCTTATGGTTCAGAAAGATTGTCCCATAGGACGGTTTTGAGGATTAAAATGAGTTATATCAAATCATGTAAACACTCAGATTTCTAAGGGCTCAGTATTAGTTATTTACTATTTGTTTTAGACAGGCTTATTATTTTATTTATTTTTTTTTAAAGATTTTATTTATTTATTTGACAGACAGAGATCACAAGTAGGCAGAGAGGCAGGCAGAGAGAGAGAGGAGGAAGCAGGTTCCCTGCTGAGCAGAGAGCCCGATCGATGTGGGGCTCGATCCCGGGACCCTGGGATCATGACCTGAGCCGAAAGCAGAGGCTTTAACCCACTGAGCCACCCAGGCGCCCCTAGACAGGCTTATTATTTTAAAGTATGTATTTTTTAATCTACTTTATAAACATTTATCACATGTATTTATGAGGCATTAAATATTTGCAAAGCTAACTTCAGTACTATGCCTCCTGAGTATTTAAACTGGCAAACTTATATACAGATACAAAATTCACAGAAAATACGTAAACTTATGAATTTCAGAATCCTGGTTTAAGAAAACAAAACATTCCTGGGACAAAAATTACTGGGGAAATTTAAATATCAACTAGATATTAAATAATACTATATTATGTTCATTTTCTTAGATGTGATAGTGATATAGAATTATATAGAAGAGACAAGAGTTCAAGTATCAAATATGAGAAAAAGAAAATTAATAGTGTAAAATTTTGGAACTAGGTGGAGAATTTGGGATATTCACTGTTTTCTCACCTCGTCATTTCTGCACTGCATAACAATATTCAACACTAGGGGAAATGTAGAATGAGAACTTAAAAACTGATTAAGAAAATGATACAGGGGCACCTGGGTGGCTCAGTGGGTTAAAGCCTCTGCTTTGGCTCAGGTCATGATCCCAGGGTCCTAGGATCGAGCCCCGCATCGGGCTCTCTGCTCAGCGGGGAGCCTGCTTCTCCCTCTCTCTCTGCCTGCCTCTCTGCCTACTTGTGATCTCTCATTGTCAAATAAATAAATAAAAGTCTTAAAAAAAAATGATATAGAACTAAAGTTACTAATTTCTGAAAATGCTACATAGAAATGGGACCATGGGGGCGCCTGGGTGGCTCAGTGGGTTAAAGCCTCTGCCTTTGGCTCAGGTCATGCCAGGGTCCTGAGATCCAGCCCCGAATTGGGGGGGGGGTCTCTGCTCAGCAGGGAGCCTGCTGCCCTTCCTCTCTCTGCCTGCCTCTCTGCCTACTTGAGATCTGTAACAAATAAATAAATAAAATCTTCAAAAAAAAAAAAAAAGAAAGAAAGAAAGAAATGGGACCATGAATCTCCCCTTAGCTAAGAAAACAGGGTGAATAGGAAATAGTAGCAATTTACTAGCAAAAGAACAGCAGCCAGAGTTGGGCTCAACATCAGATGTTGGACAGTTTATATCTTTTAAGGCAGAAGAAACCCAAGTCCATTATTTCTTTAAATAACAAGCCAGCTCTAAATAAAGGAAATTAGCAAATACTGAAATTAAAACTGTAAAGAACATCAGTTAAAAAACCTGCCCTTGTTTTTTTTTTTTTAAACCGTTCCAGGCACCTGGCTCACCTTGGTGAAGTCATGAACAATGTTGGCAGGATCACTGTCTGCAAATTCTGGGACAGGCACACTGATGAATTCAACCTCATCTTCCTCAAAGATCTTAATATTTTCCTCAATTGTCTGATAGCGAGCAGCCGGGGCATCTGCAGAAGGCTCGTTTAAGATGACATCATCTTTGATATACTTTATTCCACAGTAGTACACGTCATCGGGCTACAGAGAGTTCAAACACTACTTCAGCAATTCAGTGGGAGACAGGTTTTTACATGTGAGCATTACTCAAGCTGCCACCGTTATCTAAACAGCATTTTGCTTGCAAACTCTTTCAGATGACAAGTCAGACAGCTTAATTACAGAGCTAATATACCCTTAAGATGGGGTTCTTAAGTATTGTAAAGAAAAAAAAGTGGTTTCAGAAAGAGAAAAACAGCTGATGTTTTCCTTTACTTTTTGTAGTTGACAAAAATAGAATTTAAAGCAATTGTTCATCTGGTGACAAGTAAATGTGAAGAAATACATAGGCCTATTTCTACCTGTAGGCTTTATTTTTATGAAAAAAATGTATTTTAAATAAATGTTTTTTTTCTGAAAGAATATACTTTTAAGACTTTTTGAAGTGAGTCACTGATTAAATGATTTTTCTCTTACTAGCCGAAAAAGGGATAGTTTTTCTGTAATTTTTACAGGAATACAAGTGGTTGTGATTTTTTTCCTTAAAATAAATTACAATTAAGTGAAAAATATCAGATTACAGTAATCATTTTAAAGACTGTTTTTTTAAAAAGTATACGTGAAGGCTATAAGTATATAACAAAACGTTAAGGCAAAAGTGTTTCTGAATGGTGGAATTACAAATTGGTTTTTTCTATATCAAATACATTTCCTGTAAAAAACTGCATTAAAAAAGATGACTAGTATTTCAGTAATGTCTATCAACATGCAAATGGGCATGAAATGTATACATTTCCTCTGGAAGAATGTTTCATTATTTTAGTAAAATCTATGTCAATGGTTTCTTCAAATTTTAAAATGTTAAAAAAAAACCTACTAACTTATTGTTAAGAGAAATGTCACAAAACAGAGATCATAAATCATGATTATCATTAGAAGTATCTGTCTTAACCCACTAAGATTAAGGATTTCTATTAAACACTCTGAGTTATCAACGTTCATCCCAAATCACTTCAACATCACTGCTGAAGGTACACAATCCTTGAAGAAAAATCAATGGCTTGGGAAGAGGCAGAGAGACGTGGTGCCAGTGCGCCCGGTGTCCAGGAGTAAAGTCAAATTGTAGGCAAGTCCAAACTGGCTACCAAGTTAGAATCCATCAATATGACAACATTTTGATGTTATCTGATGTATTTACTCAACTGGCAAACAATCATGGTATATCTTAGCTACTAGAGTAGGAAAACGAACGAAGACTAGCCAATTTTGAAAAATCATCCGATACTCTGTCCTCTTTAGTCAGCAACATTTCAAAATAACATTATTCTGCTTTTAGTGACTGCCCAATAGGCTCAGCAAACTTATGTTCAGATTTTTAAAAAGCAACTTTAGAACAGGACTACCACCCTGGCCAAAGGCCACGGACAAAAAATGCAGGCTTAGAACAAATTGGGACCTACTTTCTAATATGCATGAAGGAAAGGCAAAAGTCCTTCTTAGCATTTTTCCACTTACTTGAAGTGCAAAGTATTTGTACAGGTATGCTCCTCCCAGAATGACACCTGCAAGCATAAATGCTAGTCCAAAGCACATGCACCAGCACCAGGCTCTTCTCTGGCCAACTGGTACCACTTCATCTGGGTCCTAAAATATGAAAAAGACCAACAATGGTCAGTATCGTTATCTCCAGCCAGAATCACAGAAGGGTCAGGATTCAAAGAAGCCTGAAAAGGATGATCATTTTATAAATAAAGGTAAGAAAGACCAATGGACTCAGATATCGTAACAAAATCAACCCAGGAATTATTAGGTGGTGGTGCCAGGACTCACCACAGCCATCAGTCTCTTGGGAGAGTTCTGCCTTCTTCTCTCAACACCTTTGCTACTCATACCTCCCGAGCGGTAACATACTGCATAATTCCTAATAACTGTGCACAACTTTGGTGACTAAAATATCTTCTAACATTTAAAAATTCAGAAAAGGCTACAACCCAACTCTGTCATACAATATTACGGTGCTGAGCCTTATTTATACAACCTCAGTGTGCACTATATTATATTATAAAATTATGTATTAGCCTGCTAAAGGTAGTTCGTATTTCATAGCAGGTATCAAACCCCTCCTAACAATACACAAGAAAAAGTAACAGGAAATTAAGGGAAGGACAACTAATATGAAACAAATTCTTTGAACCATTGGAGTCTTAAAAAATCTTATTAATTTTCCTGCCATACCCTAAAAAACAAATCTAGTTTGACAGAGGTCTTCATTTTTAAGATAGAAGCAGCAGAAAAATAAGGAAAAGAGTGAACAGAAAAAAAAAAAAAAAAAGCTTATTAAGTCAAGAGACATGCAGTTAGTTAGAATTTTGATTTGGACCCACTCAAAGAAATAACTTAGCCTCAGAATGTCAAATGGAGTCACAATGTTCAGGCCTTTAAATACTCCCCTTGCCCTTTAACTCAGTCACTCTGTCACTTCAGATTTAAGGCTAATTTCTGATTCGGACCCAGGTCCATGTCAAAGAGCTGACAATTGAGATTAGCTGCTCACGTCATCAAACTCATGGCTCAAGATATATTGTACAGACAGCAGAAGAAAAGCTCCAATTGACCTGAAAACAACATAATAGAAGATGTTCTCGTTAGTAGTATGTATGTATAGCCTCTCGAGCTAGGACTCTGATCTTTGCTTAGAAAAATCAATGTAGGCTGTATTAAGGGAGAATGCAGACTTGATCCACACCTTTACAGATAAACAGGATATAAGAAAAAAGGAAGAAAAACTGTTATCAACAATGCTGGATATGGCTGAAACAAGAATACAGTTAAGAAAGAATGAAAGCTCCAAATCCAAAAAAAAAAAAAAAGAAAGAAAGAAAGACTGAAAGCTAAAGTTGTATTTTCAATGCTAAGATAAGGAATTTCAACTTGATACTACTAAGGAAAAGTCCAATCCCATCTGTCCCAAACAGCCAAGAACACTTCAGGGCTAGACAGTGTACAACTAGGTTAACTGAGGTTTTAAACACAGAATGTAACACTGTGGAACAAATGCCTTTTAACCTGAGGATTGGATCAGACACTGCGAGAGCATTAACACTCTGCTGTTAGTATATGTACTTAAGACAAGTGTACTACGAAGTAGTATGTAAAAAGAGTAAGCCTAGAATAATTTATCAAGTCATGCAACATATTCCATCTGTAAACACAAAGTTACAAGAATTCCCTGGAGTCATAAGGTAATATGAAACTTGAATGATAAAGTCTAGCATTTTGCTTGAGCCCTTGTGTGATATAAATACCTAAGGAGATAAGAAACAGTTCCTAGCATAATTAATTTTAGGGTGGAGGCCGGGTGGGGGGGGTGGAGATGACAGATGGAAACAGTCATTTCCAAACATTTGGTATCAGCTGCTGAGACAGTCAAATGTGCCTACAACGCCCACCCTGTTTGGCAGACTCCTTCTCTAGCAACACATAAATGAATATCCAAAGACCATGGGCAGACACTTATAAAAAAAAATATACAGCCCCAACTGTCAAACTGATAACAAGTTTCCGGCCTTTTAATATATCATTTTTTTAAAAAAGATTTTATTTATTTGATAGAGAGAGACACAGTGAGTGAGGGGAACACAAGCAGGGGAGTAGGAGAGGGAGAAGGAGCTTCCTGCTGAACAGGGAGCCCAATGCGGGGCTCCAACCCAGGCCAAAGGCAGATGCTTAATGACTGAGCTATCCAGGCACCTCTAGTGTATCATTTTTAATTGGTCAGCAAATTTCAAGAACAAATTATAAATGTCTACTATGGGCCAAGAGCTGCGCTAGGCACTGGTATATAGCCCCTGCCAAGAAAGAGATCATTCAGATCAGCGTGGGAAATAAATACACAAAGAGAACGTAAACACGATATGGACTCTAACAGAAGAATGCAGAGCACAGAAAAGGAGTCAGTGTTTGGAGTGCATCTCCTAGAGGAGAAAATACTAGAATGGAATGCTGAAGGACAAATGCTCATTACCCACAGAGAACACAGAGTTAAAGGGCATTATATTGAAGGCAAAGAATGAATAAAATCATGGAACCAGAATGCATGACATCTCCAAGGGACACATGTGCTATGGCTGGCATGTCCAATATATGGGGAGGGTATAAGAAGTTAAGAATGGAGAGGTTAACTGGGATGGATCACAAAGGGCCTTTATATGCCATGCTTTGGAGTCTGAATTCTCATGTTCATTCAAAAAATCACATTTCTGGACAAGGACAACTAAAAAAATTAAATTTCTCTAAGAATTTAATTTATAAAATGCTTCACTATCCACAAGTCATCTGTTCAGCACTTCAACAATATGAACCATGGTTTAAGAATCAGAAACTAAGTCTTCAAATAACCACATTATAGATCCAAGTTCATGCACCATAATCATGTACTTCCTAAAAGCGCTACTGGGTCTTCAAAATCTAATCTCTTTTTTCCTCTTAATTTTTAGTGATCATTTCCTACCTTGCATTAGAATAATTCACATACACATCTTTTTTTTTTTTTTTTTTTTTAAGATTTTATTTACTTATTTGACAGAGACCACAAGCAGGCAGAGAGGCAGGCAGGGAGGCGGGGAGGGGGGGGAAGCAGGCTCCCCGCTGAGCAGAGAGCCCGATGTGGGGCTCGATCCCAGGACCCTGAGATCATGACCTGAGCTGAAGGCAGAGGCTTAACCCACTGAGCCACCCAGGCGCCCCTCACATACACATCTTCTACCAACCACGATGTAAGGTTCTTGTGACTATCCATTCATATTCATTTTGCATTACTGGTAGCTCCAAGCTAAGTTTAGTACTTGGTTGGCACTCAACAAATATCTGATGAGTGAATGAAATTTACATCTGTTTTTAAAGCTTGGGTTATTTATTTTTTTAATGATGCATGAAAGTTACAACCACAGCCAGTGTGATAGTGAGGGGTGGGAGCAACGTAAGACTTCATGACACAAAACAGATAGTGGCTATTTAGCAAAGAACAGTAGCCCTAAGTACTTAGTACAGTTTGACATTTATTAAGGACCTGTTATTTGCAATATACTGTGGAAGATCCTGTGGGAAAACAAATGTAATTAAGGCATGGCTCATGTCTTAAGTAATTCGCAGTCAAAATTAACATTATTCATGACAGATGAAGGGCATACCATATTACAATCTGAGTCATGGAGAAATCATTAAAATATATTGAGAACAGAAAAGTTTTTAATCTAAGTGATTTATTAAAAGTGTATTTTAAGGGCGCCTGGGTGGCTCAGTGGGTTAAAGTCTCTGCCTTCGGCTCAGGTCATGATCTCAGGGTCCTGGGACCCAGCCCCACGTGGGGCGCTCTCTGCTTAGCAGGGGGCCTGCTTTCTCCCCTCTCTCTGCCTGCCTCTACTTGTGATCTCTCTGTCAAATAAATAAATAAAATCTTCAAAAAAAAAAAGTGTATTTTAAATGATTAACTCCAGAAAGAGTAAGCTTAAAGTTTAAAAGGCCACATATGCAAGATTTAAGAAGAAAAGCCCCATGACCATCTCAATATATGTCAAAAATCCATTTGACAAACTCCGAACTCCAACTCATAATCAAATTTCTTTGCAACCTGGAAAGAGGTGAAACTCTTTAACATGACTAAGGCTAATAATGATCAAAAACCCATAGTAAACCTCATACTTAATGGTGAAACTTCTGACTTAATACCATTAACCTTTCAAGTCAGGAATTATGAGGGTTGCCCACTAAAACTGATTCTTTGTTTCCATCCAACATTGTATTAGAAATCCTAGCTAGTATACAACTGAGAAGCACAAGAACAAATATAAAGATTACAAAAAAGAATGCAAAACTATCATTATGTGTAAATGATATCACTGTCTAGAAAATCTGAGAAAGTAAAATTCAAACTAATTGAAGTTCAGCAAGATTGAAGACTGGTAATTAAAAATCAACTGACTCAAAGATTTATGTATTAGTCATACCATCATTATTCATAATAGCCCCAAACTAGAAACAACACAAGTATCCACTAAGTGATGAATGAATAAACTGTGGGATATTCATACTGAATCAAAAATATGCTAAGTGAAACAAATCCAACATAAAAGATTACTTATTGCATGATTCTATTTTTATCAAATTCCAGAAAAGGCAAATGTAGTGACAAAAAAGTAGTTCAGTGGTTGTCATGGCCAAGAACTGGTGAGGGAGAGACTGAAGACATATAAGGAAATTTTTTAAAGATAATGGAAATGTTTCGTATCTTGATGGTGGGGGATATACAACTTTGTTATTACCATAAATTCAATCAAGTCATATACAGGGAATGGATGAATTTTACTGCATGTAAATTATATTTTAATATAGGAAGTGGGGGGGAAATCAAGTGAGTTCTTCCATAGCAGGCAATAAGAGAAAACTAACGACACCAAGTGCTAGGGAAAGTATGGAGCAATGGAAATTGAGAACTTTCATATAGTTGGCAGGAGTTGGTACAACTGCTCAAAGAACAATTTGGCAGTATTTAATAAAGTTCAACACACACACACACACCTCCATGACCCAGCAATTTCATTTCTAGGAACGTGGCCCTAGATAGAGTTTTATATGTGTACATAAAA